TAGACTCCAGCTGCTTTCCTCGAATCACGCACCTTTTTTTCCCTAGGGGATTTGCGGACGTAGGCAAGGCCACCATTCCGCATAGTGCTTCCTGCGGTCCGAAACTCCACGAAGTGCCGGGCACACGGTTCGTGCGTTGCTGTTCGGCGTTCGTTGCTGCCTCTGGTCATGTGGAGGATCCAGCGGAGTGGTCCAAACGGGTTTCCGGTGCTAAGCAGTTTCAACACAAACCACGCTGCAAGCGATGGGAATAAAGAAACCAACGCCCCAAAGAGCCACCGATGTGCTCGTCCAATACATCAACAATGTCTTCCTTTTCCCTGGTCTACGTGGAGGCCAGGACTCCATGGTCATGGTCAAGTGCTGGTCAAGTCATCAACATGGAACATAGACCAGCACACACGTGCTTTCCCAAAAGGATAAGTCTGCCTCCCTTTCCTCTCATGTCCCATCCATAATGTAGAATATTGATTAATAAACTAACAAATAGAAACACCACATATGAAGAGGATTTAAGAGGTATTACAACCCAAATGGGGGGGTCTTAATGGGTCTTATAATATCTTATATCAATCAAGATTCCACATGATTCTTTCTCAAGCTGTCTGATGGTTTCCTGGCGTTCTCCACCGTTGAGACGTGGCAGACCGCCGCCGGGCGCAGCGCTGCGTCGCGCTCGTCCACGACGTTGAAGCCTGTGGAGCCGGGGGCCAATGGGGGTGAAGCGCCCCGCGGCGGTGGAGCATCCGGAAATGAAATGACCATGAACATGACTGGAACCAACAAAGTATGGTGGTTGGGGGGAACATGAACCAACATGACACGTCAGGTGGAAGCAACAAAGTACGTCTGCAACATGTCTGCAGAATCAGGTGGAAAGCGGGTGGAACATCTGTACCAACGAACCTGCAAAGCAGTCTAGTCGCCGCTTTTCAGCTTCTCCCGCCATACCCTAGGATTCAGTCCACCATTGGTTTAATGGTCTTTACCGAACAACCATTGTTTTTCTAAGGATTGTGTACACTACAAAACCAGGTCAACCATTTTAAATGGTCCTTGGGCATAGTGTCTTTGTGTGCGTCAGTTTTGAACAAGGTCATCCCATCTCAGTCTAAGGAATTGGGTACTTGACGGTGTAGTTATATAAGCATTACACCAAGGTACTTCACCCAGTTCCCACCACCAAGTAACCCCATCAAGGCAGGCCCAGTGCACTCTCAACGTAATCCTTCAGGGCATGAGCTCCGAGCTCCATCAACATTCGTCTTCATCACACCCCTCGAACGGCACCCCTGGCCCCCCTGGATAACCTATGTATCCAACGCATCCATCCTCCGCATGCCTGGCATCTGATTGCTGTCAGGTGCTGCATCTCCCAGAAGTGCTCGAGTGCACGCGGCCATCGACTCACCTGGGGCGATCCAGCCAGGTCAACGGCTTCGTTCCTCCGAGACGGACCGACGGGTCGGGCAACAACTAGGGCAATCGGTCAAAGGACGGTGCGTACGATGCATCGTTGTACACCAGAAGCGAATTGAAGTATTCTCCAGTGCCTGATGATTCCGGACCGGGATCAAAAGGTTTGATGTAGGTGATTGCAAAAACAACACAAAAACTGACCCTTCTGTCAGATACGTTTCGGGCCTCAAAACCTGGCCGATGCAGGGTCACACCAAGTCGCTGTTGCTGTCGACGTTGTATCCACCTTCCTGCGCGAGGACGACTTTGCCACCCGCCAAACCTTGGACACGCTCCATGCGGTTCCCACAGACAAGGCCGGTGAAAACCGGAGGTGGAACACCGGTCGACCAGCAGCCCAGCAGCAGTCGATTTAAAAAAATAACGGTCCTTTTTGTTTGGGGAGGAAAAGGCCTTCAATGTATAGACTCTTGGTTAATTAAGAAAACACACACAGAAGCGATGTAGAACTGTAAAACCTATTTGATGACACATGCTACAGGGCTTGATGCCACTCCCTTCGACTCTAGCACAAATAAAGAACTGTTCCTTGAAGGGTCGGCTCCGCGAACGCTCAGAACCTAATCTCGAGAGGTCCGAGAACCTCACGCTCGGTTCATTGGGCGTTTCAAAGGTAGTTCAAGCAACCTAGAAGTCCAAAAATGGCATATGTTTGCCTAATAAGTGAAGTGTTTCGGAAGATTCCTTTTCATGCCACCAAACGACTCGACCTTTCTTTTTAGAGTCTTTGACTCTCCCGGTCCGTTTCAGGTGTCTGCAGTTCTTCAGTTGGTGCACTGTATTTCTTGAGTCGAGCAATTCGTCATGTGCGGCCCCAGGATCCCATAAGCTTCTGGGTGATCTCGTAGAAGCCCTTGGGCGAGACCCGGCAGCCACCTCCGGATGCTTCTTCGTTTTTTGGTTCGACCGACGAGTCGACGAACGGCGTGCAGCTGACGAGCCTCGTGGTTTGCCAAACGAACGGCTCGACGAGTCTCGTCTTGCGAACCTGCCCATCTCACCGAAGCTGCCTATCTCACTTCCAGTCATGGTAGTCTCGGCACACCAAAAAGTGTTGGATCATGGACTTGTGCTCCGAGTGCAGGTTTAGAGAGGATGGGAGGATGCTACAAGGCAGGGTTGTATCTATGATGGCCACGGCAACTACTCTGATTGTAGCAGTGGGTTGGTTTTTCGAACCTCTGGTGTATTCCTCCGTTCATCTACAGAATCCCACCAGCAGAATGCAGTTCTGGGATGTGATCTGCGGATTTGTCTTTGCCCGATGAAGAAAAGAACAAATCCACCCTGGACCGTGCGAGACACCTGCTGCTTGAAGCAGTGTGGGCTTGGGAAACAAAAGGTTGGTCCATCCATCCAACCTACACCGAAGCAAGGCCCTAGTAGCATAAAGCACCCAAATCCATCCAAATCCCAACTCCTTCATCACAAGAATTGAACCTGACCAAAAAATAAAGCAACACCTCAAATGAAAAACCTCTCGTCTAGTCATCCCACCGCCGCCCATCTCACCCGCAGACCCCCCGCATTCCCCCCGCATTCCCTCAACCTCGTTCTTCTCCCTCGCCTAGCGGGTCACCTGGTGCCGCATCGAAGCCGGCGCTCACGAGGACCAGGTCCGGCGTGAAGGCCTTGGCAATCCTCGGTCGAAAAAACATCCACCACCTAGTGCTTCCAATGGGTGTCCAATGGTGACCTATAAGCAGTGTAGGGTTGTCCATTGGTAACCTTTTGGAAGCAGCTGGCAGGAATCCATTTCTGAGTGGATCGGCACCCCGGCGGCCGAACTTGGTTCGGCACCCCAACCAACTCCAAGTTCGCCCAAACACCCGTGATTGGTTCCAGAAGGTCTGCCAGGGATGTGGAAGGGATTAGGAAGGGAGCCTCCAAAGAGCATCCAGAGGCTTACCTGTGGAAATCTATACGAGGTTAATACCATGATATACCATGGTATTTAATCAAGGTGTCTTCTTCCTGGGGGGCTCCTTATTTCAAGATATGCCACTATTATGGTTGTGGCACTTATGTCCACTTGTGTCCCTTCTTCATCATCATCATCCTCATCCTCCTCGTCGTCGTCGTCGTCGTTGGAATCCCAAGAATGGAGTTCGATTTCAACGCCTTTCCGCAGAAGCGGATTTCGGCAAAGAATGGCCAATCACATCCAATCACTATGGGATTGAGCTGCACATCTACAGATTTCTGATCTGTTCCCATGACGTTTTGCCGCCACGGCGCGGCATGAAGAGCCGATCAAAGGCATACAGCAGTTCCGCATCTCCGGGAGGGTTCTTCGCATTGGAGGCCACCTCCCAGGGGACGTTCACGCAGTAGCCTTCACCTACCCGTTGAATCGAAAACGGCATCGGTGGATGAGTCGAGACACGGAACGGTCACCACGTCCTCCCGTTTTGACCGCTATCGAAACAAGCGGATGGCATGGACCCGAAAGGATGACTGTCCTCTACAAACAGTGGCTTGCCACTTCCATGGTTATTTCAGGGAGTTTATAGGGTTCTAGGATGTTCTAGGGTTTTAGGGTGGTCGAACTGGGAATCCCTAAGAAAGGGTCCTTTTTTGATGTGCTCAGTGTGAAGTAAAGTCCGTACTCCATGTGCTCTTCTCTACACACGCACCACGAACTTCGGCGTCTTCACCCCGCGCCTGCGCCTGTGCCGTGACTGGTGTAGTTTCCCAATTCACCTCCAGGGTAATACTTCCCACGGTCGTAGCGGTGGATGGAACAGAAGAGCACCTCGGCGCGTTTGTTGCGCAGTTCGACGCCACCGAACTGAAGCCGGGTCCACGGAGGGACACGGGGACACGAGAGACCCAACCGGTCAGGATAATCGACCAAAGTCAGTGCAGTCGACTTGTGCATCTGTACAGTGTCTTCTTATTCTAGTGGTGACACCCAATGTTCAGGTTCAAAGAAACGCCCCCAACATCCGCGAACCAACCGTCGGCGAAACGAGGTTCACCCGGTTCCCACACACTTGGAATCTATGCCGCCCCATTCGACCCCCCCTAAACCACAAACCAATGGCCCTTTTTCGGCCCATGTCGCAGCCCCAATTGTCTTCGCGTGGAGTTGAAGTCCTCCAGAGAAGAGTCACGGGAAGCTCTGTGGAGCGGAGCTCTCCCCAGGATGAAAAGGTGCACAGTGAAAATGGTGGCGCACAAGAGTGGGGATTCGGTTCCTCTCATCCATGCCATTTGCTCTTCCCCAGAGAGTTTGTTGCCGAGTTTTCTTTTTGTTTCACAACAGCCACAGTGAGCTCTCGAATGTCACCTGTCTTCGTTCGGGTCCTGCTAACAATGTTCTAGCTGGTCTAGCTTTCATGCACAAGTTGGGTTCTACTCCCACCCAGGTACGGATCGAATGTTTGCTCAATGAAGGGCCTCAAGCGAAAAACATGAGATATATAGTAATATGTTATGATCGTTGTTGAACTGGAACTGTTGCTGGGTTTGCGGGCCACCCCAAGATCACCCAACAACTGAGGTTGGCCTGGCCTTCCTCACCAGGCCACACTGGGGTCATCTTCGAACATCCGCTGAGTGCCGTTGCCATGGTGCACATCGAAGTCCACGATCAGCACTTTGGATGCCCAGCCTGTCACGACCGTGTCGATACCGAAGGAATTGTCCGCCAAAGGGTTCGAAGGTCACTCCATCGTCTCCTTCATTAACATGAATAGTACGAAAATCCCTTCATCATCTCCATGAATTCTAATAGTTGTGTACCGTCTTTCCCTCTCAGCCGGGACCCGGCGGTCGCATCTGTGGTGCGGTCGCCTCCCCGAAGTGCCGCGCCTTTCGCCTGCGCCAGGGCCGCGCCGAGCGCCACGTTCCCGAAGAGGCAGAAGCCCCGCGGCTGCGAGGGCTCGGCGTGGTGGCCTGGAACAGCTTGGTTCGGCTGAGGGAAGTGCCGAACACATCCAAGACCGGATGCGCTGAGGGTTCTCCCACAGGTGAACCCGGGTACAAAGAAGAACATGTACAGCACCAACACCTGGGAACCTCATTGTGAACCCAAATGTAAAAGTAAGACCCACACACAAAGATGTGGGGATAAGAGATTGAGGTATAGCACAAACACCTGCACCTTTCTTCATGTTCAACCATCGGCAAATCGCTTGTGGCAACCTTGTTGGGAGGCACAACAAGGTGCATCTAGGAATCTAGGGCTTTTTGCAGCTGTGAATTTAAAAAGAAAACAGAAAACAACAACAACAATCTCGAAGCATTCAGGTGTCTGACAAGACTTCATCCAAATGGACTGAAAGCCGGCCCCTGTTCGTCCAAACATCACGATCCACTGTTCCACTGTTCCGAAACAACGATTGCCTGCCACGAAAACGTGTCCAGGATAAACCACCAGATGCGCACAGATACACCACCGGAGCACCACTGCGAGAGTCCGCAGGCCCCCAAAGTCCTGCGCCTGCTACGAGAAATGACCATGAGGTCTGACTCGCTCAGTGTGCCTGGAAAATATCGGTGTTTGGTGTCCACCTGTTCATTTGTTCAAAAAGGCTAGAGGTTATCTACTGACATGGTAGGAGGTCAACTTCTTGCTGTGCCTGCCACGAATAAAAACGAACCAACTCAGGAAATAGCGCGAGTCCTGTCTTACACTCACTCTGCCTTACTACCTTACTACTCACCAAAAGAACCCCCCTAGCCTGCCAGCAACCTCTTCGAGCAAATCTTATATACCTTTCAAGTTCACCATGACGACACGATCTTTTCACCCACCTCCTGCCTTTCCCATCTCTTGCGATCTTCCTTTAGAACTCTCCATCTTTCGCGCAGAACTCGCTCCCGACCACCGGCGGCGAGGGCCCTCGCCTGGCGGCCGCACCACGCAGCAGGCGCTCTGCACCTCTCCGCTGCACACGCGAGCCGTCGCTTCCAGCACGCAGCCCGCGGAGAGCAAGGCGGCCTCGGCAGCGGAAGACGGGAGTTCTTCGGGAAGACTGGAAGACTGGATGAAGTTGGTGAGCGGTTTTCAGGGATCTGGAAAAGGATTGAAAAAATGGGATAACTATATAAATGATAAGTATGGGGAAACAAAGAAACCCTTTCACCAGACAATAAAAGTGTTTGTGGCTGGGAAAGGCCATGGTAAGTTGTGACGTATGTCATATGAATTGCTTCCCGATGTTCCTATCTTCTATATCTTGGTCCCTAAGCAAACAAAGTCAAACAGAAATGATGTTTCTCGTCTCCAGGGTGCTCACATTGCCCAGATCTACCCAGATGCCTCTTACAGCAGAACAGCGGCGTTGATCGGAACCCCCCATGCTTTCAGAAGGTCATGGGCGCCTCATGGCGCCTCAGGACCCAAGCATGGGAATCTGGACCACATTCGCACCAAACTCCAGAATTGTGTAAAGGAAAACAAACTAGCCAAAGTGTTTGGTCGAAAAAAGAAGACGCCCGAAGAAATTGTGCTCCCAAGTCACTTCGGTGGTCTCGGGACATAGGAAGATGCTGTCGAACTCCAGGCCTTAAAAAATCCAATCAAGCCCGGAGATGTTCGATGAAAATCAACCTTCGGAGCTTTATGGCACTGGGAAGAGAGCACACTCAGTACACTCCCTGAAATAATCGAAGTGGAGAATGGCTCCTTGGACTACCATTTTCCAAATACCAAACAGGTCGTGCCATGATTATTTCAGGGAGTCCCCGATGTTCTTTTGGGGGAGCAGAGTAGACTCTGTCCCCAATTATGTTGTAGTGAAAGACTGGGAAAGACAATGTCGTGGTTCTGTCCTGCCAGGGCTTACGGCTTAGGGCCCCTGGCCACCGAGTTTGGAGGGACATTGCAGGCCCTTTGAGCGCGTAAAAAATTACACTATGTGTATGGTGTAGGAGTGTAGGAGTCTTGTGTTGAAAGGGGCCCCGGGTAACCATTGAGAACCACATATCCTGAAGACATGCTCTTTCAAGGGCTCAACACAGAAAAGCAAAGTAAAAGAAAGGCAAAGCCGGGAAGGAACGGGACGAAACGAAACAGAGACTTACTCGGAGTAAGGAAGGAAAGCACACGAAAAGAGAATAAAAAGAAAGGACAAGCACGAAACACGAAAGACAAAGGAGAGAAAAGGCATCGAAAACGAAAACTAAAGACCAGCGAAGAAAGGAAAAGAAGGAAAAGGAAAAGAATGAAAGGACAAGGCAAAGGAAGCACAAGAAAGCAAAGAGGTGAAGCAGAGGACAGAAAAAGACAAGGAAACGACAGACCAAGCCAAAGCAAAAGCCCCGAAAAGAAAAGGTAACGAAAACACAAAGAAAAGCATGGAGGGCAGTGCTATGGATATGAAGCCAGAAGAGGACAGCAAAACAAACACATGAAAGAAAGATAAAGAAAGTGAGAAGAGGCCGAACCAAAGAATGAGAAGCAATGAACAGGGAAGAAGAAAAAACAAGAAAAAGAAAAGAAACCAAGACACTTGAAAACACCTGTTGATACGAACTGGCCCGTGAATCTATCGACGGCCCAAGAATGGGATGTCGCACGGTGCTTCCGAAGTCCTGAGGTCCCGAGGTCCCGTGACGGACTCGGAGCGAGCGAAATGAGGGATCCAAAACGAGTGTGGAACATGGAACCTGCTGTAAGATGAGGGTAGGTGATATCGTTTCATCGGTATACTCATCAAAATGGAATATACGTAGTTCTTTATAAAAGGGTACATCGCTTGTGATGTGTTGCTGCTGAGGTGAACCCTTTCGAAAGTTGCGACGACGCCATCAGTGACACAGATACGCAGTTGGGGTTAGGTCACACTGGTGGATTGCTGGGAAAAGCGGGTTGATAGAAACGACCGTTTAGATCGCAAGGTCTGGATACTCTGACGAACACTTCACATGGAAGCGGAGGGCACCCCCTGTTTCTAGAGGAAAGTAGTATTCCAATGGGGACCATGCCATCCATTTCCATGTTAGTCAGTCAGAGGGCTACTCCCTTCAGAACATGAGCTCATTCAACCAGCGGCGTGTCTCCCTTTTCCCAGAGTCAGCCACCCTCCCACCCTTCGGACTGGGGCACTCAGCTTCAGCATCTCCTGCACACCACGCCGCGCCACACGACGCCGTGCGCCGTGCCACCCGAACGGAACCCGAAGCCATCGGTGCCGTGGCAGTCCGAAGAGACGATGGTGCCAAAAGGTCACCCACACCTCTCTTGGTTCTTTGATGGTTCTTGTTCCACGATTCTTCCGACATGTTCATGGTTGCTACATGGTCGTACCGAAAGCGTTCGTTTGCCGGAGAACAGGATCCACGAGGGCTTTTTCGGCTGCACGATGTTGCAGGTCTCTGGGCGAGAGTTCTGAGTTCTGAGTTCAACATAGTTCAACCCAGGTGGAGATCACCTGCAGCTCTTCAGCGACATCCCCTTCCCACCTCGGGAGCCAGGTCTTTCAATCCCAGGATCTGGTCCACATGCTCGGCGCGGTGCTTCAGAAGCAGCTCATCCCGCGTCGCTTCCCTGGCGTCGGATGTCGAAAAAAGGACTCTCCCAGTCTCCCAGAGACCATTCTGGGAACTTGAACATGCTGGGCTCATCTGGACTCGCTGGGCTCATCTGGACTCTAGGCATCTCTAGGCATTGCGGCTGCGCGGTGTTTCCGCTATTTGGGCAAACTGTGGCAACCACTTTCGCAAGGGTATTTGGACGGCTTACTCTTCCTTGCCCACACATGTCCATACCAAGCCCTTGAGGTGGCCCATCTTTTTGGATGTAGGCCATATGGCTCATTGTCGCCATACAGTCCACGAATCTTCTTGGGAACGCGATGCAAATGACAGAACCATATATAATGGATCACTCTGCCCGATGAACGTGTCTACGTCTCTCCACATGCAACTATGAACAATCGCTTTGCATATGACGTCTTCATCATTTGTACGATCTGCACCAAAATCCAAGAAGTGCTGAAAATGCCGGGACTTCTAAGCCATTCTGGACTATGTATTCTTCCAACTGCATCCGTCGGCACCGAAGAAAAACCGTCATGACCGGTTTGTTTCTCCAAGTCTTGGACCAGCAACCCTCTGGGAGTCGAGACGCTCCAAAATCCCGTCAAAAAGCATGAAAGGCTCTGCGGGTTTGGGATTGCCAATAATTGAGTCCCTGGTTTGAATCCGATTCATTGTCATTGTTCTACCGGCTTCTCAACTTCAAAAAAAAAAAGAAAAACACCGCAGGTGGTGGTAGAAGGATCAAGTCGAAAGAAAGGTCCTTCTGGTCGCCCGTTCTTACCTCCCAGACTTACTTCCCAATGCCCCCCACCAAACCACCCGACTCCGCAACCTCGACTCGGAGTTCCCGACTTGCTGGCCGCGCCTCGCCGGCAGGCGCACACATCGCTGCGCCAAGCCTTGTTGCTCCAAGTGTTCAAAGACCCGAAGCACCCGCAGTGGCTGCTCCGGATGCGAGGCGTCCTGCGAACCAGTGAGGTCCCGGTCAGCCGTGTTGGGGTCACGAACACGTGCCTTTCTTCCGAGCGTTTTGGGTTCGGGGATCCCTGGGAGTCTTGAAATCGACTGAATCAGAGTCGACCCCACGGTTGTCCATCTCGTTTGCATCCAGTTGAAAACTCCCATTGGATGTGGACTTTGTATGACTTGGTCCTCCATCTCCCTTTCGCCGCTGAGAACCCCACCGCTCCCACCGGCGCTCTGAACACCACCGGTGAAACCGTGGAAGATTCCTGGAACAGCACGGCAACAAATGGATGGACGTGTCCTGGTCAAATCGCCCGTTCCGTTTCGTGCCGGTCCAATGATCCAACAGAAACAGACCGACCTTGGAAGAAACTTCCATGACCTGGCCTGGCAGTCTGGTTGCAGGTATGTACAGCAACCGGGCTTACTGGACCAAAGTTTCACTAATTTGGTGTACCAATTACCCTCAGAGGTCAAGATTAACTCCAATTGGTGGTGGATGTCTTAAGACAAGCTGTTTTTAAAACAACCATACAAGGCACT